ATGCTATTTAATATAAATCAATTTAATCAAACATTAAACACAATTTTCTGCAAAGGTTTAATTCTTTTATGGTGTTTATAGCCTTTTGCCACAAGGAGTGCTTTGTAACGCGATTTGTCACCATTCGAATTTGTTTTCACTCGATACACCCACTTATTGTCTATCACTGGATGATCCTTTGGCTTTGGAAATGATTCATTTCCTGCTTCATTGCTTCTGTCCATTCTTCATTTTCGTTTGACTGGATTGCTGTTTGGTATGATTCTGGAGTTAAAATCGAACAATATATGGCTGGTCCATAGTAATCAGGTTGCTTTAAAAGGTTTCGTTGACGTAGTTGTATCCTGTCGTCTTCTTCGTTATTTTCATTTTTGGTCTCTAGATCTGGATCATTTTCTTCGTCATTGATTTCAGAAACCACATTTTCATCAAGTTGGTAATGGAGAGGAAAATTCAAAACGTTAGTCTTTTCTTCATTGATTCCTTCAAACTCTTCTTCGTTAAAGTTCACATCACAGCTGAGGATTATTCTTCTTTTATTTTTGTCCCATAATCCATAATTATATGACAATGCATCATATCCCACAAACAATAACTTGTTGCTTTTTTGGTCCCAATTTTTGCGTAGCTGAGTTGGTATCGCCATGTAAGCTGCACATCCAAATACTCTCAAGTGCTTTGTTTCAGGTTTTCTGCCTAGAAATACTTCAAAAGCTGTAATTTTCTTTGTCTGATTCAATATTGTTCTATTCAGTATATGCGCGGCAGTATTTACCGCTTCAGACCATAATTCTGTAGAAACATTTCCATTCAACATCATGGAACGTGCCGATTCAACTATTGTTCTTATTTCCCTTTCCGAAGAACCGTTTTGTTGAGGTGAGTAGGGTGCCGATCTCTCATGCATGATCACTGATATTCCCTCTGTTTGTAGATATTTTTGAAAATTTTCATTGATATATTCAGTCCCATTATCACTTAAAAACTTTAATTTTATTGACAGTTTGATTTTCCATCAACGCTTTATATTCTTTAAAGCGCGCAAACACTTCACTCTTCTGTTTCAGAAAATAAACATTTCTGTATCCAGTACACTCATCCTTGAACATTACAAAGAAATGTGATCCGCTCGGTGAGTCAACGCTCATTGGACCACATACATCAGAATGTATTTTATCACCAGGTTTCTCTGCTTTAATCTTCGTGACGTGTTTA